AAGTTATTGATTTTGTAAAGTCATACAAAATGGAATTATAAATATTAGAAAATGTCTAATAAAAATTAAAATTTAGGATTGGTCGAAATTCAAGTAATTGATGAATTTCTATTTCGATGACATATTCCCCAAAGCTTACATCTGATCCCACATCCTAAATCATATATAAGCTGCTATTCCAATCAATCTTATCTAAATTTGATAATGTAAACTATATTGTTTCTGATAAAGGTTAGGTTGAGTAAATTTTTACTTGTTGATTAAACCAGATGCTAATGTATTATAAATTTGAAGTCATGTTGAGATAAGTAATTAATAATTTTGGTGCATAGATAAATGCGCATTAGCTAGGAGAATCTCTTATCATTATAGTGCATATCCAATCTTATTCAATCAAGCAATTCTTGCATCCATCTAGTACTTCCAAATTTCCATCATCGCATTCCTCTTATTACTAAAGCAATCCATCTCCACATTATAATTATCATTTGCATTAATTAGAAATTTGTAATTAATACTAATCATTGCACTTTAAACAAATACCTTGATAGCATTCATGACAATTTTGTGGACATGAATAAGAATACTTGCAATCAAAGCAACCGTCAAATTAGATTGTATTGCCATCATCACAATCTTCTTCCTTTGTGACAATCTGATCACCACAAACAGAAAGGCACCTATTATTAACAAACCTATATCCATCTTCACATATAAAAATGCATTTTCCTAAATTGCATATGATGCAATCTTCAGCGCATTAAAACTTACATTCAAAGCAACCATCATAAGGTAGCAAATTTCCATCATCACAATCTTCATACTATTAGAGAACAAATTTATCTCCGCAATAAGGAAGACATGTATTTTCTGACAGTTAATATCCTACTTCACACACCAAGCACATTGAAAGCAGTTAACGTTGACAATTAGCTATTAAGAGAAATCTACAATCCGAACAATCCTCCCATTCCCTATTATCCGACAGGTCGCATTATTCAGCGGAATAAGGAACTACATTACCATCTCCACAAGAAGCAACACAATTAAAATCAGCATTAAGATCAAATCCAAAAACACATTCAGAACAAATTCCAAATAAACAAGTTTTGCAAAAGCTTTTGCATGAATATTTGCATTAATAACAAGTATTATTAGATATTATATTAGTATCATCACATTCTTCTTAACCTTGAATAATACCATCACCACAAATTGGATGACAATTTTCAAGAATTTTTTCTTTAACCCAACCTTCTTTGCAAATCAAGCATTTATCATCAAATTACTCTAAACAACCTTCTTTAAATTTGCTTACTATTGTTTCTAATTAAGTCTAAATTACTCTTAAAGAGCCATATTAATCTTCAATAGTTCCATCAACACAAAATGGATGGCAAGTCTCAAGAAATTTATCTTAAATCCAACCTTTTTAACAAATCAAACATTTATCATCAATCGATTCTAAACAACCTTCTTTAAATGTTTTTGTTATCGTTTCTGGTTAAGTTTAAGAAATTTCAAAATTTTTTATATGACATAATTCTCCTTGTATGATTCCATCAGCACAAAAGGGATAGCAATTCTCAAGAAATTCGTCTCTAATCCAACCTTCTTAACAAATCAGACATTTATTATCAATTGATTCTAAACAACCTTCATTGAATTTATTTAAAATTATTTCTGCTTCAGTGTAAAATAATTCAAAATCTCTTATTAAACCATAATCCCAGCGTTTTGAGTTTTAATATTCAACTTTAATATAGGATCATTATGGATTCTTGATTAAATATTT